TCTTGCTTTCTCCATCTATCAAAATGATTTTCGGGGAGATAATAACGTTTGATGAACAGTCTCGAATTATCACCAGTCTCTTGCAACCAGACAGAGACAGCTCTCAGTTCCCTGGGGTTTGGTCAGGTACCACTGGACTGGGTGGTATAACATGTCCTCAGCTTCAGGCATTCTTGCCGCCCTACTCACGGGCAGTCGAGCTTGTTGATTATTATCAGGAGCATGTTGGTTGGGCTTATTGCTTGTTGCATATGCCAACACTGAGACGTTATCTCCTTGAGACTTACCAACAATTGGGGGCGGGATATACACCGAATCTCCCAATTCTTGCCCTCATTTGTGCAGTATTTGCGCTGGCTAAGTTCTTCTCCCAGTCAACCTCTGCCTTCAGTACATCCGACACATCTCGAGACAAATCTCATCGGGAGTATATCGGGATGGCTAGTCAGGCTTTAGCAGAGGCGAAACATTTGGAACACCCTACTGTGGAGTCCATCCAAACCGGAACCTTGATTGGTATCTGTTTGCTCGTCAACACGGGAGCTATCCGCTCAGCCAGAGCCCTCGCGGGTTCCATGTATATGTCTGCCCAGGCATTGGGTCTACATCAATTGGACTCGGCGAAAAACAAAAGACTGCGCCAGAAAGGTCCATATGATAAATTGGACCTGGAGATTAAACGGCGTCTCTGGTGGCACATTGCATCCACAGACTGGTAAGATGTTAATCATCCCACAGAAATATAAATCATGTTGAAGCTAAGATGCGGTATAGGGTATATGCGTTCATATCAGGACCTCAGTTGGGTGTTTATATAGTGCAACCTGATCAGATGCATGTGGATCTGCCGAGTAATGCGGATGATCACGATATAACACCAACTACTTGTCCGAACAAGCCCCTGACTGAGCCAACAGAGGTAACCTATCTTATCCTTCGATGCAAACTCGTCAGGCTCTTTGTGGACTTCATGGAAAGTGCCAATAGGGAAGGTGTAGGAATTCATGAACTGGAGTACGATCAGATACTTGCATTTGACAAGAAGATTAACAAATTCCTCGCCGCGCTACCATACTTTTTCCAAGTCGAGACCGAGGGCGAAGGTTTTGCAGAATTAGAAAAGAAACGAGAAGAACTGGACAAGCAACGGCCCTACATGAAATGGCAGCGACTGATGGCCCAGTTTGGAGCCTGCACAAGGATAACCCGTCTGCATAGGCCGTATCTTGCTCTTGGAGCTCGTGATCCCCGCTATGCATACTCCCGTATGGCATGTATCAAGTCAGCTCGGGTGGTGCTCGAGATCGAACGGCGCATGAGAAATAGCGTAGGCCCTTCCACTCCAAGCCCGTTCAAGGTCTGGGCCATTGCATACCAGCTGTTCCTGGCCACCACAGTCCTAGCTATGGACTATCATTTCAACAGGAACGAGCCGAGATCAGAGGAACGGGCTGAAGAAGTCCTTGAGTGCTGCCGAGCATTGGAGGCAGCGGCTCAGAGTAGTGTGGTGGCTGCGCGAGGCCTGAAGAAGCTCAAAGAGGTTGCTGCAAAATGGGGCCTCTTATCAATTATTAACCTCGAGTCCAAGCCTGCCGCTAGTCAGACCAGGAACGAACCAATGGTTGCGTCGAAAGAATCAGCCCCCATAGAGTATCCCGGGTATCCACAGGATGGAAACTCCCTCCAAAACACGGAAGTTGGGTCGCTTGGGGGCTTATGGGGAAACGTGTGGGAATACAACAGTGCAACGGATTATACCCAGTGGGACGGGATATTCCAGGACCTTGAAAGCAACCATGGCATGTTTTGAACAAACATTGTCTTTTGTATTGTTTGTATCAGTAGAATCACTTTTCTCGATGTTTTGAAGTTAGTTGTTTCGTGTTTGGTTTCAGCCGACGGCCGTATCTTAGTCATCACTTAGTCACCACTTAGTCATCGACTTGTCAGTACTTAGTCAGTGCTTAGTCAGCGTCGAAAAAGGTGCAGGTGGCACTTCGTTATCACCGAAGCCAAAGCAGATAGTTGATAATATAGAAGTTGGCCCAGGAATAGTATACACTCTACACGACGGTACTCCGAACCAACATAATGGATCCCTTTTCAGCAGAAGGAGGTGAGTACGGGCCCCCAATGGCAGTGTGGCAGCATGGCTAACTTTGCTTCTTCAAAACAAGAGCTCCTGAACATCCACAATGCCTTCTACCAGGGGCAGTACCAGGAAGTAGTCGACTTCGATACCTCCTCTTTCTCCTCCGAAAACACCCTTGCCGCCCGTGTCCTTAAGCTGCGAGCACAGATCGCTCTTGGACAAAGTAACGAAGTGCTAAAGAGCCTGGGAGCCAAGAGAGACACACCGGAGTTGGATGCTGTTGCGGCGTTGGCGGAACATGTCTCTGGAAACGAGGAAGAAGCCCTGAAGCTGGCCGAAGACCTGGCAGCTAAGCATGAGGATAATGCAGCGGTGCAGGTGCTGGCTGGCCAGGTCCTGCATGCACAAGACAAGACCGCCGAGGCGTTGGCTCTGCTATCGAAACATTCAGGAAACCTAGAGGCGTGAGTGCTACATTCTCCGTACGCTGCCTACGACATGAATGCATGGCTGATAGTCCGGCTACTATAGTGTCGCTTTGATTGTCCAGATACACCTCCAGCAGAATAGATCCGACCTCGCTCTGAAAGAAGTCCAGGCAGCTCGACGATGGGCACAGGATTCGTTGCTTGTCAACTTGGCGGAGTCGTGGGTTGGTATGAGAGTGGTACGTCCGTATGATACGCATGAAATGCAGTACAATATACAAAAAGGTTAATATCTGACTTGAATCAGGGTGGTGAGAAGTACCAGGCTGCTTTCTACGTCTACGAAGAACTCGCTTCCGTCCCCAGCACTACTTCCGCACTGTCAATAGTCGGTCAAGCAGTGTCTGAACTGCACTTGGGCCGCATACCGGAGGCAGAAGCCGCACTGCAGTCTGCTCTCCAGAAGTATCCTGAAGATCCTCAGGTACTCGCAAACTCTATTGTATTGAATGCTATCAGTGGAAAGGACAAGGAAGAGCTGACAGAGTAAGTCAAATACTGCTACGAGATTGTCCACTTTCGGTACCCTGCTAATAGACAAATGCAGGAGACTAAGCAAGGTCCAGCCTGACCATGCATTCCTTACCGACTTGAAGGAAAAGTCGGATCTCTTTGACACAGCTGCAGCAAAATACTCCGTCAAGGCCTAGTTATCTTTGATTTCACAACATAGAACCTGGTGTTTGCTTCTTCCAATAATAATGAAGTTTACGGTTTATCCAATTCTACCATCCCAAGATCTACGTCTTTCTTGTAACCTTGGTAACGCCTTTGAACATCGCTAGGCATTATTAACATGTATCATATGAAAGCAAAAACGCATGGTATCTATAAAGGTGGCTATCGTCTTCGTCTAGTCTATCCGCTACGGCAACTTCTCCATGAGCCAAAGCCGCAATGTGCTGCCCATTCCAGTTTCTTTTTTTGCGCCCATAATACGATTGAAGATAGGACCAACATGTGGCTCACCCTCGCAAACAACATACTTGAGATTTGGAATGGCAGACTATTACCAGAAGATTAGCATTTAGAGTCAGAATCGATGGATGGAAGAATGCATCCTCCTCGCCTTACCTTGTTCTTGTCAACGAATTGACCGACTGCATCAACAAGCACATCATCCCCTCCAATAAACACCAGCAGCGCCTTGGTCTTGACGTCCTTCCACCATTCCACCGGTGCCTGGTTGGCCTGGATATAATTGTCCAGCTTCCCGTCGCCGATATACGCCTTGCCCCAGTACTCTCCACTCTTCATCGAGAGGTAATCCTTCTTCGCATTGCTGGTGTATGAGGGATAATCTTTATCCATCGAGACCCAAGGGGCCATGGTGAACGCACCCCCAAGTGGACCGGATAGTTCCAGCGGCTTGATAGCTTCATGCGGATGGGAGAGATGCGAAAGCACGCCCAGCGTCAGGTTCCCTCCTGCAGAGTCACCGCCAATCAAGACATTTTGAGGCTCACGGCCTGTCTCGACAGTGATGTAGCGGAGAGCTTCGACGGCTTGTCGTAGCTGTGTAGGATAAACGCCTTCAGGGGTGAGGGTATATGAGAGGAAGAAGAAAGCGACGTCCTTGCCAGCTGCATTGAGCTTCTTGAGCATGTCGGCGTACAGCTGGAAGTAAGCCAGGTATGCAGGGAGCGCAAATCCACCGCCTATATGGTCTTGTTAGTTATATATATATATACGACAGGTACGCTAGATATATGTACTGACCGTGGAAGTAGACCACTACGTTCTTTGCGTCTTTCTTGCCGATCCAGTGCCCCTGAGCGCCATGTTCAAGCTGCACGGTATCCGGCTTGAGGCGACGCTTCTTCGAGAACGTTTCATAATTCTGCGCCGTAGATGGATAGATGAAACTGCCGGGTCAACAGGTCAGTCTATATAGGCTTTTATATTGACAATATGAGAGCCGTTTGGGAAACTATCTTACTGAAGCTGCCTTATGGACATCCGCCAGAGGAATCGCCGAACGACCGCATGGCGGATGTGAGTCCTGTATGACCTGGCGCCATCCTGCTGGCGCACCAGGCCAGTGACGGCCGCAGCGATGCCAGTCGCAAGCAGACCGAGACCGGCTCGTAGCAAGTCAAGCTTCTCTCGCACCGTCAGCTTTACGGGGGAGTTGACGGGGACAAGGGCCTTCTCCGCCGCCATAATTGCAGGACTGGTATTATGGTATTTGATTGAGCGGATAGAATCAAGCACTTCAATTGACTGTTTATTTCATCCCCGGAATCGCGACAAGCGGAGTTACATGGGGTACGGGGTAATAATATCAATATTATACAATTCCAAATTACATGCCTGTATAGTCTATCTATAGTAGTTATGAAAAATATTACTATATTAAAAATACCCCCTTCTATCTATTTTCTTTACTTTTTTTACTATTAGTAGATATATAAGGCCTCTATAAATTATTTAGCTATTTTTTAAATTATTTATTTATCTTCTTTTATTATTATTTTATCTATTTTTAGAAGTTATATTAAGTTTTAATATAATATTGTACAATTATTAAATAATATTTTATTTTAATTTAATAATAGAATATTAAAATTAATTAATTAATTATATATATTAATTATTAATTATTTATAATCTAATATATTATAATATAATATTATAAATTATAAATTATAATTTATAAATTTTGAATAATATTATAAATAATATGATAAATTATAAATTATAAATTTTAAATAATATTAATATTATTTTTTAATATTATTTTTAAATATATTTTAAATTAATTTAAAATTAGTCTAAATATATTTTATATATAATTTAAAG